GCGGCCACCAGCCTGCACATCCAGGCTTTCAGAGGACAGAGCTTCCCCACTGCCAGCTCTTCTCCCCCATTTTCATTACACTGCTGCAGCTTTCAGGGCCCTTGCAAAGTATGACATGACAAAATGCTGTTTTCTCCCTTTATGCCCCCACCCCTTAGCCCCTCTGCCAGAGGCACAAGGCAGGTCAGCGCCTGCTAGAGCTGTAAATCGGGCTCAGGGCATTTGCTGGCCAGGTGTTAGTCTCAAAGTCACATTCACACGGCCCTGACCCAGACTCCATTAAAAATCATTATCTTTTGAAATATCAGCTTCTTCTGTCTCAGGAAGAAATTTGCAGGCAATTTCAGTCCACAGGAAAACCCTAGCAACGTTTAATTAATGTCTGTGCACATTTTTGACATCTCTTGGCAATGTTTAGGAGCAAGGCAAAAGCACTTGACTACAATTTGACATTGTTACATGCTTATGAGGGCCCATTTTCAGAATTTGTTCAAAGAACCAATAATTCCAAGAACTGCCACCAAAAAAACTCAAATCACTCAACCAGTGGTTGGTAAATATTCGTTTCCGACACAGCAATCGCTTTTAGACGAGACAAACTATGGATCCCAAGCTGCCACAGAAACAAACCTCCCACCTGGGGCTGAGGCGAGGTGGTTTTGAAACCAGAATGTCTTTGTTAACGATAGCCTCATGTTTGCAGCATAACAGAAACGGCTGTTCCTGTGTTTCCTTCTGCACCTTCACAACAACAACAACAACAAAAAAGTAAAAAAGCAACTAAATGTGCTTTTTACTGCCCATCAATACCACCTCTCATTTGAAACAGGCTGGGGAGCAGCACAACTTTGGAGCAAAGAAGGCTCCAGGCAGGTGGCAGACAGGGCACCCACAGCTATAATTGATTCACAAAGTGTTTTCATGTGCAGAAGCTTGCTGCTTAGGACCCTGGCTCCCTCAACACCTGTCTCTTAATGTGCTTCTCCAGACATAGGAAGCATTTCTGCTTCGCAAAGACAGGTTTTCATTAAGGTGTAGTTTTTTTAACATGACAGGAGCTGCCATTTTGATTTACTTCTCTGATTCACACCAGAGAAGGTCCAGATCCAACTCTTTGTCTGATGATACAATAATCATGCACACATTTTCTCACATACCTTCACAGCTGCAAGATCACTCAAGCTCCAGTGACATCTAAGACTGTGCAGGTGCAAAAGCAAATACCACAGACAAATCTGTTCATGAGCCATCCACCCACTTCTCAAGCTGACAGATAAACCAGAAAAGAAACCAGCTTGCACAAGACTGAATCTTGCACAAAAGAGTAAGGGCAGTGGAACAATGTCAGCTTCAGGATTTATAGAATCATAGAATCACAGAACGGTTTAGGTTGGAAGGGACCTCAAAGATCATCTAGTTCCAACCCCCCTGCCATGGGCAGGGACACCCGTCACTAGACCAGGTTGCCCGAAGCCTCATCCAACCACCCCAGGGATGGGGTCTCCACAGCTTCTCTGGGCAACCTGTTCCAGTGCCTCACCACCCTCACAGTAAAGAATTTCTTCCTAACATCTAATCTAAATCTACCCTCTTTTAGTTTAAACCCATTACCCCTTGTCTGATCACTACATCCCAATTTGAGCAAGGTGTTTCAAGAGTTCTGCTTCATTACCTAGAGGATTTCACATAGTTCGCCTTTGCATGTGTCCTGCCTGTCTGCCTCTGGTGAATGGGGGAGGGTGACAAGGGGAAGAGGTAGGATACAAGCAAGTCGTGTCCAGCATCTCACTACACTGGATTTTCTTTTTTATCATTCATTTACTCACTGTGGCATTGAGTGGTGCTTACAGTGAGAGTCAAATGCAAGCTCCTTGCATTTTTCTCGTCTTTTTTCCCAGAAGAAAACCACAGTACCAGGGCTGAACATGCCTGGCATTGGCAGCAGAACACTTCCACAGCTCGTGAGTGCAGTACCAGGGCTGAATATGCCTGGCGTTGGCAGCAGAACACTTCCACAGCTCGTGAGTGTTCAGAGAAGTGTGCTGCACATCTCCAAGACTTTGGTTTCACTTCTCTGCCTTGTGGCTCTGCAGTGCACCAACTCTCTTCTCTGTATCTCCCCTCGCTCTCACCGAAAAGGTACTGCAGCAGTCTCTTGCAACCCAAACCCCAAAATGTTTGTGAGGAACAAGGATTCACCCGCTTTACCACAGAGAGTGACCCTGAAGGTATAGCAGAGGCATGGCGTGAAGGCAGGTTATGTGCTGCTCAGAAGCCTGGCCCCAGCTTCTCTAAACCAGGCAAGAGATTTCTGTTTAGTAGCAAAGGCAAACTGGGAAGTCAGCCTGTGAGTGAATGGTCCTGTCTTTCCCCCACCAAAAGCTAATAAAAAGGCACACTGTGAAAAAGAACAGTTCAGGGTTTGGGGTTTTTGTTGTTGTTGTTTGGGGTTTTTTGTTTTGTTTTTTTTTTGAGAGGGAGCCATTTAATGCACTGTCAATTACTGTCAGAAAATAAACTTGTTATGAGAAAAATTACAGAGGATAATTTATTTCCCTGGGATCAGCAGCCTGGAAATTCCAGGTGCCTGTGGGGCAGCTACTATTTTGCAAGACAGAAGTGGGGCATCGGATTTTACACGTGCCTGTGCCATTTTCTTATGGATACTTTATTTTTGTGCTTTTTTTCAGATGTTTTTCTTTAATCCAAAATAAAGTGACTTTACTTAAAAGGCCAGAGTCAACCAAAACTCCCTGTTGTGCAGTACGTGCTATCACAAGATCCTTTTTTGGTTGGTCCTAAGACACTTCTGTAATAAATTACATCACTACACTTCCTTCCTTAATTTTGTCTTTGTTTTAAACTCAGCTGTGATTTTCAGTTTATTCTGGACCCTGAGCAAGACTTTAGGACTCAACTGATGAAAAAAAAAAATCTTAAAAGGCAATTCAGGTTTGTGAAAGGGATGTGTTGTGCCCACTGTCCTGGTTTTCATCTGGGATAGAGTTAATTTTCACAACAGGCTGTGAGGGGACACAGCCAGGACAGGTGACTTAAACTAGCCAGAAGGGTATTCCATACCATATGACATCATGCTCAGTATATAAAGGGGGCTAGTCAGGGAGCAGTGGCAGGTCTGGGATGGGCTGAATGTCCGGTTGCTCATCAGGTGAGAAATTGCATTGTATATCATGCATTTTGTATATTCTGTTGTAAGTACTGTTGTTATTTTCCTCTCCCTTTGCTGTCCCAGTAAACTGTCTTTATCTCAACAGATGAGTTTTGCCTTTTTCTTCCAACATGACACTCATTCACAGGATCCAACTCTGTTCTGAGTTACGCAGATCCATAACCCCCATTTGCAGCAGAGCTGCCTTGTGTAATGGAGCAGGAGTGTGATGTTAATGCCACTCACCATCCTTGAAATAGGTGACATGTCTGTATCTGCCCTCTGGGGAATCTTCGTACAGTACTCCTGGGCCAGGTTGCTTGTTTTGGGGAACCTAAGCTGTTTGTCTCAGCACCATAAAATGGTGCAGCTTTGCACATAGAGCCCAGAAATTATCAAGCTGTTACTACAATGGCGGCATTTTGATTTGAAGGTGACAGAGACATTCCAAATGCTGTAATACTTAAGCAATGGCCAATGATTACAGCTTGCTGTTGCCCAAGAAGCTTCCTTATTCACTGATAGCAACAGTAAGGTACCCAGCACTGCAGCTGGAGATGGGGTCTGTTTGGGCTGGTTGCTGTACAGACACAGAAAAGAACACAGACATCACTTGTTAACCCTCCAGCATTACAAGGCTGTAATTAAATCCCCTTTTCCCAACAAGTTTTGTGTAAGCCCAAGGGGATGAGTTAGCACTAAAGCCTCCAGGGAGTTTGCATCAGTATACTGAACAAAAGGGGAGACATTCCCCCCACCATTTTATTCTCTGTTTATTGAATGTATCTTCAGCTCTGCTGGGTATTTCCCAGCACACAGGCTTAAAATGGAGCCTGCATTTTTTTTGCTTCATCTCTTCAGGGGCAAATATACTGAGCCATTGATTAGGTTATTTGAGGATCATGGCACAGTACAATTGCTTGCTGTTATTCTAGTAGTCATTTATCAGGAGCCAGCTATGCACGTTTTATAAAGCTCTTCAAAAAACACAGCTACTCGAGAACACTTTTCACAGCACGTTTCAAATGTGCCTTTGTGCGCAAGTTGTTTGCGTCTCAGTAGCAGCCGAAAAGGCATTTCGTTGTGTTGGTTGCTATAGTAATTACTTTCCTTGGGAGCTAAAATAATAGCTTACAGCTCCTGCAGCTTGCTGTTGTGTAGGCTGCCTTGAACCAGAGACACTTCCATTTTGTTTTGTAGGGGGCTGGGGACTATACGCTGAGAGACAGACTTTCCTTTCTATGCTTCGTGCAGCTAATTTTGAATTTAACCTTTGTAGAGGATGTGTCACAGGTCTAAAGGTTCAAAAACAAAAGCAGCATATGAAACGGTAGGACAGCCTTGCGGCTGAGGTTTCTGATGGGGGTGAAGATTTGGATTTGGTTTCCATTTCTCTTATTGATAACTGGTAGGAAAAGTA